CATACTTATTTTGATCAACTTTCTTAAATTTATTTGGTCATTCTGATTTCTGGTAAAGGTTTGGAAGTTTTTTTTTCTGGCTCTCTTCTTCTAGGTTGTGAAGGATTATAGTCCATCGAGTTTCCAATATTTTATAGTATATCTGAGAACAAAAAACCCACACATGAGGACTAGTCGAGTTAAAATACAATGAGTAGGCACCTTGGATATTACTGAAAAGATCCGTTCTGCATAAAAATAACTTTTCCGGAGATGAAATGGAATTCGTAAGGGTCCAGCCATATTGTTAGACTTTCATTTTGTTCTATAAGCATGATTTTTCTTTCTAGTTTGCCTTATTTCTATATTTTTATACCATACAAAATTTCAGTACCTTTGAAGTATGATCCTCTATTGAATTAAAATCTATTGAGGAGGCACCTTCGATATTACTGAAAAGATCCTTCTACTATGTCTATATAAATAACCTTTCTGGAGATGTTAATAAAATTCTCTTGGGTCGCCTAACATTGATACTTATTTTTTGTTTTCTAAGCACGATTTTTGTTTCTACTTTGCCTTGTTTCTACTATCTTATACTAACCAAAATTTCAGTAACTTTTTGGTCTTGTTTAATAAGTAACTCTCCACCTACCATCCCATTCTTTTGGTGTTTACTTTAGTTACATTTTACCATCAAAATTTGGTGGCTAATTCCATGAAAGAACCATGCCTGCAAATTCACTTGCTCAAAAATTCAGAAGCTGTGTCACATCAATTTGTTGTAAATCCTATTTTTTTACTCATTTTTGTGGTTAACTTGATTAAATCAAAACACCTTTCAAGTAAATATGTAAATGATATTGCTGTTATATGGAAAATTTGTCTCAAAACACCTCTCTGATCTCTCATTTTACTGATGATTTAAGTCTATAGTTAGAAGAGCAGTTTTGCGGCTCAGGCATGCGTTTCCTTGCACATCGTTTTATATTCTTTTCTGCAAAGAGGGAACTAAATATCATTAAGTGGATGTAACTAGAATGATAGAATTATATACTTGACAATGATACTGGATCTTACAATATTTAGCAACAAATTGATGGACATGACTGAGTTTACCTAATAACGCCCTGTAACGGTGCATTGAGATGCAACTTGTAGTTAGGTGATATTTACATCGCAGAAGTTTTGTCATTGCAACACTTAGTCTTTGTATGATTTGAATCTTGATCCTCACTACCTAGAAGATATCATTTGATCACAGGCAGTCAAGTTGGTAGCAAGTGGAAAGTTGATGAAACGGAAAGCAATATATTCTCTTGCATTGAGGAAATTCGGAGGACAACTAGAATCAGAGGATGACTAGACTAACTCTATCCGGTGAGTGTCTTGTCTGTCTGTTACCTTCTCTCTCCCAACCACTACCCCACCATCCTCCCAAAATTAAGAAAACGGAAAGATTACTCTGTTGCTTTCATTGTAATTTAAGTAACAACTTATGTTTATGGTTGCTTTGATGTTGATCAGTTTGATATTTTCTCCAACTGCTTTGATTAGGAAAGAGGTTTTCTGCTATCTTCCATGTCCGTATGATTAGCAGAGTGCAAGTTAAGGCAAATGGAGTTCAGCACACTATCTATGACTGTTTTAGTATGTGTTTGACTGAATTTTATACTAATGTGGATACCATGGAGTTAAAAACTTTCTTGTTATAGGAAAATGACATGAAATTTGGTAAGAGAGCAACAGTAGCAAACAATTCTTTGTTAAGCAGTCACATATATCACATCTGATTAGTTTTTTCTTCTTATTGTACTTGGAGCTGCAATTTTGTATCTGTCAACATTTTTCGATTAGTTTTTGTACAAAAATCGCGCTCATTTGAGGCAGATCAAGTAGTTTTATGTTAGTCTTTGTCAGGTGCCATTTTTGGTATATTGAATTATTAGTGAACAATCAGTTTTAACACATCTCCTGTAGTTTTGTTGTCCTTCAATTTATTGCTCTTGTGCTTCAATTATCATGCTATTTATTGTAGTTACTGGTCCTTTTCCCAGGAGGCTTTGCCATGCTTTTGGTAGTATATTGTCATGATTTCTTGACTGCCGTCATGTCTTTTTTGGATATGCTTTTATATACCTTTTCTTGAGCCGAGGGTCTATTAGAACACTCTACTCTTTTCGGACCTTACTTGTGGGTTATACTAGATACGTTGTTGTAATCAGTTTCAACTCATGTTTGAGCAACTTGTATTTATATTCATATAAAAATATGTTTTTAATACTGAAAAGTTATCTCCATCTTGTTCTACTAGAAGAAGTTACCTACCTTAATATATATTTAACCAAAAAAAATTACAGACCAAACTTTTCAAGATATATTTTTGTGAGAGACATTTTATTTCATTATACCAAACAGAAAGTGGTAAAGTTACAAGTTTTCTTTATACCAACTTTTCACTTTTGGTGTTAGACTTTTTGCAAGCAACAAAAACCATTTAAAAATCTTTTCCAAGCAGTCATTTGCTAAATTAATTCTAAAACATATTCTTTTAATATTTCTCTTAGCAAAAAATAATTATAAAAAAAATCTTAGGGGTTTGTTTATTCCTAAAGTCAAACATTTCCTTTTCACTAAAATAAAATTCTCTCTTTTAGAAAATTAAATTAAAGTTTCTCTTAGAAAATCCTTGGGTTTTTCTATTCCACAGTCAAACATTTTTATTTTTTTTATTTAATTAAAAATCCTCTCTTTTACAATATAAGAATGGAAAAAGCTGACTATTGTGGACTTTGTTATTACGCTTTCTTTGAGGAATAATAAGTCGGCAAATGCTTTAAAAACTTAAGCTATTATTGTAGCCTTTAGAATATTCACTTTTTTTTTTTTTCGCAATATCAATTTTGGGGTCGATTAATCTAAATTCATTCAATCGAAATCCTAATTTAGGAGCGGTAATGTGTTCATGACTTAAGTTAACTTCATACTTAAGATTTAAATTCGAGATTATTTTATCAAGACGTTAAAGAATACATATCGCTACATCATAATATTTGGCAATCTAGATATAATTTACTGATAATCCATAACTTAACATATTAAAATAAATAAACACACACTAAAAAACTAAAAAGATATTTCTATTCACATGATCCAAGGAAACTACCAAAGTGGTCGGCTGGTCACTACATAATTAATCAAATGTATTCTGATGATGTGTACTTTGTAATAATAAATTAATAATCTCCTTAATAATTATTAATATTTTATAAAAAAAATTACCATTAGGTTAACTTATGTCACAACACGCAATTTTCAATTCAAGACTTATATGACAAGTTGAAAAATTTAATAATAATATGCGATATTTAGGTTTCTATTCATAGATCAAAAGTTTTAAAATTATGAAATATGAAAATTCTTAAGTACTCAATCACAAATTTCAATTATTTTCATCAGATGAAGATGAAAGAGGAAGCAAATACTATGCTATTAATGGAGTTTGAAGTATGAACTTTTCATTTTAACTGTTTGACAGAAAACTCACTAAGTGAACTAGCCTTCAACTTCACTTTTTTCTATTTAATTTTTAATACTTTTTTGTTATTGAAAATTTTAATAAGTCATATCAAAACACCAACTTAATATAACAATTTCTCAGATTATTATCTATATATATATACCTATAATTTAAAAAGATAATTACGTGCAATTGTACTAAACTGATGTGTAAATATACTACTTAAACAATGTAACGTTTGAATAACATTCTTTCTAGTTTCTACCATTCAATTCCAAATCATTATTATTATATTAAATAGAAAAGTTGGAAAAGACACGTAACCCGCTTTGTATTTTCCGAAATATGCGCATAAGATATCGTCCGTTTGTTTGATAGCCATCAAATTAAAGCTCGATTCAATTTAAATAATATTAAATATTATAATATTAAAATTAATTTTTTCTAATAAAAATAAAAATATTTTTTTAATGAAGACAACTTTATTAACAGAGCTCAAACTCGAGTCTATGGCCATACCTTTGTATACACGTCTCTTTAGACTTTGTGACTTTTGTCATTGTTTTCTTCCTTACCACTTTTTTCAAATCGTCTCTTTTCCACACACTGAACAACAGGTGGATAATGAGGGCCCTACTCTTGAGGAATTTTGTGTTATAGAAATACACATAGGTAGATTTTTCTTTTCTTAAATTGAAAATTAAAATGTAAGAACTAGTGGACTAGATTTTTAATAAATAGTCCATGGATTATTTAGTACATTAAATTTTCTTGGTTCATTTATAGAGTGTTAAAAATGAAGATATGATGTAAAAATAACATTTTTTTTTATAACAACTAAAAAGAAAAATTCATCGCATAAATTAGGACATAAAAACACTTGTTTTACTTATTTTATTTTGGTGTTGATGTCCCACATTTGATTTAGTATAAAAGTATAACAAGAATCCAATATCAAACTACACCTCCTATTTATTTCCAAAATAAAAATACAATCAAACATAAAATAAAATAATGTATCAATTATTATTTCAGGAAAGACCTTTCTCCTCCAAACACTGAACAACAGTTGGGTTCTTAAGGACCTATAATTTTTTAAGGGTGGGACCATCTCAAGGGAATTTTGAGATATATAGAAATACATAGTGTATGGTGTGTATCACACCTATACATTGTATTATATAATATTATATATGTAGAAAAATAGAAAAAAAGAAGCAACTACCTAACCAAAGCAAGCTGTATCATCAAACTGTTTAACAACACTTTGGTAACTACTAAGAACAACAAACTTTGTTTAATAGTTTAGTTTTAAGACTAAAGATCAAATTTTTATGTTCTTGGTTTAGGTCTACCAACTGGTGGTTACTGATTCAGACCCTTAACCATAAAAAAAAATCACAATATTCTCCTCACCAAGATAAAAACAACTACCATCACAATACCAATTTTTTGTTCTTAGGAAAAACCCCTCAAAAAAAAAAAGAAGCTTCTGGTTTTTTTTTTTTGAGTTTTGAGGTGGCACTTTGAGACCCCACTTGAGAAAAGTTTGGTATTATTGAAAAGGAATATATAATTATTGTTTTTGGTTTTGATGTAATTTCAAGAATGGAAGGTTGGAGTTGCTTTTTCTTGTTTTTTTCATGATTGTTGTTTGTTTTTTGAATATTTTTTTGGTTGGTGTCATTGTTCAATGATAAGGAGGGGTTGTTGGGCTTAGGATCTTTGAGATTATTTTTTGTCTCCATATTGGGAAGCTTTGGTTTTGAGCCAATTAGGGGTTGTGTTTTTTTTTCAATCACTCTCTTTCTTTTTCTCTGTGCAGTGTGTGCTCCCTCTATTGAAAGCACAAAGATTTGTTCTTTCACTTTCCAGGTAATTTCAATTCTTTGCCCTATCCTTTTCATTTCTATATTTTATTATAGTACTTGTGTAGTTAAGTAATGTTATGAAGTTCTTTTCTTGATTATGATGATGGAATTTGATTTTGTTGTTTTTTAATATGGTGGAATTTCTATACCTACTGTTGTTGTAGTGGTGTTTGATCATTTCATATTCTTAATCTTTATGATAATCTGATGGAAAAGAAACAAACTTTCTTTTGATGATTCTTTGTCTTTCCCTACCCCCAAGAGGCTCAATAGTGTTCTGACTTACCCTCTAGCGCGACTAGAATTAGTGTTGGTGTTCAAACACTTGAGCAAGCCCCACTTGTCTAAAACATGTTTTGATGTTGTTTCTGATATTAAGTAGTTAATTGATGATACTGTTTCTTCGAAACTTGGTTTTCGTTGCTATGAAGAGCCTGTTGGCTGAATTCTGTTTTCGTCTTCATTGACAGTTCCTAAAGAATTTCTTCCAACAAGAGGCTAATGATTTGTAGTTCAAGCGAGTGATTCGAGGAGAAACCTGTGATTATCGAGACATAAATAGGGAATAGATATAATGTCTGCTTACTATTCAAATTTGTCCAATCAAAGAGAGGGCTTGTCAATGTCTTTTTTGCCAGACCAGAAATTTGCTTCTTATCAGTCAACTGGTCTTTCTGATAGTCCGGTTCATCTAAACCAGCATTCTGCATCAGTCTCATATTCGGAGTTGCCTGGTCAAAACTATGGTGAAGTTCAAACAATGAAAGACAAAGATGAGATGTTATTCATTCCACCAACCAGTGAATCAGGAGGTATGCAACCAATTGGTAGGGTGGTGAATGCTGTACCAAACTTTTTGGAGAACTCAGTTATGATGGATCCTCATTCTTTTCCAATGAAACAGCTTCTTGTGCCTAACGGTGAACAAAGCCTTCAAAATCAAGGATTATCTCTTAGTTTGGGTACACAAGTTCCTCCTTCGCTTCATGTGTATTCATATCAAGATGACTATACGAATTCTAGTCTATCTTCTCTAGTGGGTACCCATGTTTTGCACTCGGAGCAGGGATCGGAAAACAAGGAATCTAAAGTTGCTGAGTATTTGTCATTTGATCTAGCTGGAGGAACTAGAGCTGCAAATAATCCCCAAAGCTCCATGACCCTTAGAGAATTAAACTCTGGTGTACATTCGCATGTAGGATCAGGAGCTGCAGCAGCCATTTACAATTCCAAATATCTAAAGGCTGTTCAAGATTTGCTTGATGAAGTAGTTAATGTTCAAGAAGCTCTAAAACAATCAGATAAACTACGTAACTTCAATTTGCTCGGCCATGATCGCTCAAAAGAAGCTGATTTTAAATCTAGTAGTTCAGCTACTGGTATATCTGGTGATCATAATAATTCAACTAAAGGTGAACTTTCAGCTACAGAACGACACGATCTTGAGAGCAAGATGACAAAGCTCTTTTCGATGTTAGATGAGGTAAATTTCTTGCTTGTAATGCCTATAGATACATGTCGCACTGATCTCTTAGCATGGATCCATGTCCAAGCTGATTTATTTGTATTTTGGTTTTGACAAATAATGTGTTAAGAGGTAAAACTAACTGACTAGGAAAATGAACTTGGAATTTGTTCGGCTCTAGCCTAGACATGAATTCCTTCTATGTGACTACTGAGGTTCTACATTCCTTCTTTTTTATCTTTGTATTCCTCACCTATAGACTTTAACATCTTCGTTGAATTGCACAGTTAGATGTTCCTGTAATCTTCCGTTGCTCCTAAATATTCATAAAACATTTGCATTGTCTGTAAATTTGTCATATATGGATGAAGGACTTCTCTGAAAATTGTTGTTCTTTCACAGATGTTGAACACAGAGCATGTCCAAAGCCACTGCTTTTGTGCTTTGCAAGTCTTTTTTAACATTAGCTCCAAATAACTCTACTGGAAATAGTCTTCAGAAGAATTAAATCTCCAAAAAAATATTTCTTTTATTAAGACGATCTGTTTGTGTCTTTGAATGAAAAAATGGGAAGAAATTTCGAGAATTTAAAATATTTCTATCCCAGTTTTGAAATCATGAACAGGTTTTGTTTCAAAGTTTCCATTTGTTGTGCTACTTAAGTGCTTGCTATATAAATTCTTTGTACATTCTTTGACTAATTCAGTTTCTACTTGACCTCTATCTTTTATATGGATGCGGAAAAATTGTCTGAAAGATACCTTGTCAATTGTGATTATAATTTTGTTGTAGGTGGATAGGAGATACAAAGAATATTACCAGCAGATGCAAGTAGTGGTATCTTCGTTTGAGATGGTTGCTGGACTTGGTGCAGCTAAACCATACACATCACTTGCCCTTAAAACCATATCTCGCCAGTTTCGCTGCTTGAGGGACGCAATCAAGAAGCAGATACAAGTTACACGTCGAAGCTTGGGGGAGCAGGGTGATAGTCAAGGGGAAAGGTTATATCGTCTCCGTTATGTGGACCAGCAATTGAGGCAGCAAAGGTCCCTTCAGCAATTTGGAATGATGCGCCAGCCTTGGAGGCCACAGAGGGGCCTTCCAGAGACTGCTGTTTCAGTCCTTCGTGCTTGGCTTTTTGAACATTTCCTCCATCCGTATGTCTCTCTTTTTCTTTTTTTTTTCCCTATTGACTTGTCATCTGTTAACATGCATTCTGATTCATTTTAGTCTTGGTGTTTCTTCAGCTACCCAAAAGATTCCGAGAAAATCATGCTGGCGAGGCAAACAGGTTTAACGAGAAGTCAGGTATGTTTATCCATGGCTATTCCACTTTGAAGCATAAAAGCAACTTAACACTCTTTTATATGGAACTGACAAATCTAGTATTGATTTTGGAACAAAGATTTGTTCCAGTTACACTGTATAAAAATTCTCGGACAAAACCTATCACCATGTATTTTCTTATAACATTCCATCTGTACTTCTTAGGGGTCGTTTGATAGGATTAGTTCATCAAACCAAATAGTGGATAAGAACTAATCTCAGTTACTTATCCCAACTTTGTTAAAACACCATATCCCGTACTATTCGTATACACTCTACCAAACGACCCGTTAACTGTTAGTTCAGTATTAAACTTGGCATTGAATTTAAGGAGACATCTTAATGCTCAAGTGATAGTCAGCTATCTAACTAATGAAACTTGTGCTTTGAGTCAGGTGGCAAACTGGTTCATAAATGCTCGAGTGCGTCTTTGGAAGCCCATGATTGAAGACATGTACAAGGAAGAGTTTGGTGTGGCAGAAGCAGGATCCGGAGCTTCACCAGAACGAGTACCACTAGACTCCAAAGAGAAATCAATAGCTGAAAACACAGGAGAAGAGATTCCAGAAAGCTTTACTACTCCAGCTGCTAACTGCAGTCATCTCGATCCATCTGACGAGTCAAGTAATATTGTTACTAATGTACACAACAATTCATTTACAGCCAAATTTAGCTTCCAAGACGGTGTTTATGAACATGAGAGGATTGATTGTGGATCAAGTAAGTTGCAGAGCGAACAAATTCCTATTGCTCATGGCTTTGGTCCTAAACCGACTAGTGACGGAAGCATCATTGGTGCTGTCAACACATACCATCCTTCCATGTTAGGTGACATAATGGGCAATCAAGTATCACTCGCTCTGCGTCTGCAAAACAGTCAAATGGACCAGCAGCCAATGTCTGGTAGGCCACAGTTAAGACAGGACGATAAGACGGATTCTACTCATGTGGACATTAGTAAAGGTGAGTACTACTATATCGATCCAGTAAACCAGCAAGAAAGGTTCTCAGGTCCTCATCTTCTATCCGATTTTGTAGTGTAAAAAAATGATATCTTGCATATATTGGTTATAAGACTTTTTTCCACTTATTGTATCAACGAGAAGTGGGTTACCAATTATGTAAATATACTATTGGATAATCCATCTGTATAATAGTGAGGACATTGTGAATGTTAGTCTAGAGATAGAATCCTCAATTGATACACATATTGTAATTTTGTATTTGAATATGAGAATAAAGCTTGCAGAGAATATGAAATTGTAAGTTTCTGTTCCACCATTAGTGTATGGATTCTTGAATATTGAGTGATCAGGAGACGTTCTTCCTCATGATCAATCTGAAGTGCTAGTCTACTGCCAAATTTTCTCGGAGATCAAATACATTGCAAGGAGGTCAACATCATCCTTTGTTCAAGAAACACTTCGTTTCAGCCCTCGAATCAAGTAAGAAAAACTCAGACACAAGTGTAGAGAGATACTTGGAGTTGCACTTGAGATAAAAAAATGATTTTTTTTTCTCTTATACTTATTTCGGGGAGAGATTATTAGGTCTACGTACACTTCTACCCTCTCCACACTTTGCTCAGGAGACTACACTTGGATTTGTTGTTGTTACTTATTTTGTGATTGCACTTATTTGTTTCCTCTATTCAGAGTTTGTACAGGTTTTGAAGACTTGTAGATTGTGGAGGCCATGGGCTCTGAGTTTTAAGATTGACAATCTTTTCTGTAACATTAGATTTGTACCTGTACACTACTACTCTCTAGCACTCATATTTTGGTGTGGTGTTAATTTTTGTCACTATATCTGTATTGTGTAACTTGCCATTATGATTCAAAGGGTAAAAAGTGAATCTTTATGATGATGTTAATATTCACCAAAGAAGATTACAATGAAAGCACAACTTTCTGCTGATAAAATTCATTCAGCTATTCAGATTTGTGGCAGACACTTTAATCAGTGAGTGGGCCTTTAGTAGGTTTCTAGCAACCAATATAATTAAGGAATGAGAGAGTGACAACTGGAAAGGCCAATAGAACAAAGATAGTAATCATTACACCACCATCACAAATTCACAACTAACCAAACTTCCAAATTAGTGGTTGAGCCAGAATTTTTAATATACATGCCACTTAAATCATCTTTTTTCTGAATTAGCTTTCCCGACAAGTGAGGTTTGCTCAAGTTGTTGAGCACCTTCATCAAGTTTTGAATCTTGTGAATCTTAAACTAACGATTGGTAGAATGTATCAAAATATCCTTTAATTTTGTGGTTTTAAACATGACATGTGAGAAATCAACATTAAAGAGTTGTCAAAAAAGGAAATAGATGACATACAAATTGAAACGAGTGAGACTATATATTTTTTAAAAATCTATATATTTTTGACAAAGGAATTCAATCGAACTGTCCAAAACCAATCAATCACATAAGCACACCATACCATCCATAGTGATACAATCTCAATCAAATCTTCAAAAATCCTATTTGATAAGATTTGTACATTATTATAGAGACAAAAGGATAAATTTGTACGCACCCTTACGCTACATTTCTGTCATAAATTGTTTTCACAACTTGAATCTCTTATGACAACAACTTTATCAGTTACGCCAATGCTCTCGACACTCGTTTTAAAAGAAAAAAGAAGAGAAAGTTAAGTATAAGAGGCATTGGTTTGATAGACACACTTTCCATTGGAAGGATTCTGCATACAGTGTCCTTTCAACATCTTTATGTAAGAGAAAATAAACAACAGCAAAACAGGAAAAAGAAGTTAAATATTCCAAAATATTTATATATATATATATTATCACAGATTCACAAGTAGACAATCTTAAGACTGGGAGTGTGCAAAAGACACTTTACTTTTTTCCTTCTTTTTTTCTCCCATATGACACAAATCTATTCAGCACAAACCTGCTATCATCTATATTTACTTTTGTTTCCTTTCTATCTAACCCCATCTCAATGTGCTTTTTGAGTGTCCCAAAGAAATGCAACAGTTATGTACTTTATTTTTTTTTACTAGCCAAGGGAAAAAAAATAAGTGTGGGGGACCATAAATTTCATGTCATTTTCAGCATTTTTTGCTTGGATAGTTCAATACTTTTACTTGTTTTTTTATGAACTTGAAAGAAGGTCTATTGTACTATAGGTTCTATAGCTTTCAGCTGCTAGTGTATAGGGTATGCTAAACTTCAGAGACAGAAAATAAAGAGTGCATGCAGGGGAATCTTTGCTTTCTTCATTCAATGAAGTATGTCATGTTTCTATTATTCATAAACTTGTGTCTTTTTTTTTCTATCGATTGTCTCAATTTAAGTGTCTTACTTTCACTGACTCTTGTTTATCAAGTCGATAACAAGATTCAAAAGTTTATCTTTATTTCTTAAATTTCGTGCTCAATTAAACTAAGACACTTAAATTGAGACAGAGGGAGTATATAATACAACTATATACAAGTACTTTAAAGGACTTTCTCATGTTAGTTGTTCCCCCTTTTTAGCCCCTTCTTGTTTGAATACTTTGCAATGCATAGGTTCCTAGTGTTCAACATTTCTTGATCATTGATTTTTGTGAACTCTATAGCTAAAATGGTTTCAAAAGACTCACCCCCACCTTCACACTCAAGCATTTTACATCAATTTATAAACTCAGACTCCATCATGACTAGTCAAATTGGTAGCCAACATTTTGACATGTATCAATCTGATACTACTACTGCCTATCAGCCTCATGGTGGACTTTCTAGATCCATAGAGTTTGTTAATCATCCTGATTTTACTACTGATTCTCATGATGTTAACCATAGTAGACATTTGATGGATCTTCTTGGAGCTTCACATGATGCTAATACTAACCAACAAGCACAAAGACTCTCACTTTCTTTAGGTTCACATTCACTTGTTTCAAGTTTTACTAATCCTAGTTATATGAACCAAGAAATTGACCAAAGGAACAATGAGTATTCTTTCTCTGCAGCTGCAATGAATCAATCTTTTTCGAATGTTTGTGGAACTGAATCTTTTGTTTCTGCTATTGGTAACTCAAAGTACTTGAAACCAACTCGGTCTCTGTTGGAGGAATTGGTTTGTATTGGTGGCAAGACTATTGATTCAAGTAATGAGAAGTTTATTAGGCGATTGTCGCGTAATAGCAAGAAAGGATCTTTAAGCCTTCGCACTATGTTGAAAGGAGAAATCCCACCAAGCAATGAATTGTTCAATGAAAGACATGAACTTTATGTTAAAATCATGAAGCTCATAGTCTTGTTGGAAGAGGTAAGCAAATATAACACCAGAATTCTTGATTATTCCATCTCGTCTAAAAGCTTAAGAGGTCGTTTGTTAGGATGTATCTAGTATAGTACATGTATTAGTCATCATATATATTATTTAATCCTTTGTTTGGTAGGGTTTTCCCTCTATGTATAACTAATCTCATCATTATTAATATACGCTATTCAGTACTATTCTTATACACTCTACTAAACGATACATATTTTGATTCAACTTTTTTGGTTTATAACATTACTAATGCTGATTTTTCAGGTGGAAAGGAGATATGAGCAATATTATCAACATATGGAAGAAGTTACTTCAACATTTGAGGTAATAGCAGGATTTGGAGCAGGGAAAGCTTACACAGCACTTGCACTTCAAGCAATGTCTAGACATTTTTGCTGCTTAAGAGATGCCATCATATCTCAAATTAATGTCATTAGACAAAAAATGCTACGAGACGTGCCGAAAATTAGCAGTGGCTTGTCACATTTGAGTCTTTTTGAGAAAGAAACTCTGCAGAACAGAATATCTCTTCAGCAACTTGGAATCATTCAAGGTAATCGACAAGCTTGGCGACCAATTAGAGGATTGCCAGAGACATCAGTGGCAATTCTTCGTTCTTGGCTATTCGAACACTTTCTCCATCCGTATGTACTCTGATCATCTCATCTAAAAGCTTAATATGTATGTCTGCAGCATTTATAGTAACTTGTATTATATTAAATGATGGTCTTTCTTAAGCAGATATCCAAATGACTCTGAAAAGCTTATGTTATCATCTCAAACAGGCTTATCAAAAAATCAGGTAATTATGAACCTATAGTTTGGCATAACATTTTGAATAGTCAATATTCATAATTTAATTTAGTATTATGATGATCTTGTTATAAGGTTTCCAACTGGTTTATTAACGCGCGAGTTAGGCTATGGAAGCCCATGATTGAGGAAATGTATAAGGAAGAATTTGCAGAATCTTCAGTTGAATCAGATAATTTGTTGAACAGAGAAGGTGTTACTGATTCTGCAGAAGAATGAAGTAAGCAAGCAAACTTAAGCTCAAAAAAACAATTTTAATTTTAATCTTTTTTCTAATGGGATGTAATTTGTCATTTTCTAGCTGTCAAAACTATTGTGAGAGCGATTAGGCGCTCAAAAGGCAAAACTCTCGGTCGTTACAATTTTTAGTCTTTAGTTACGAGTCTGTTTATACTCACGACTATTGTCATAATCAACTGATTGAATGTTTGTTTTTTTTCTTTTGTGATGTTAGGGGTTGAAGTGAGAAGAATGAGGAAATATATTTTATTTGATGTAATAATACTATGGTTTTACAGAGTTGGAATTAATTGAAGGATTGGAGTGTGGGAGAAAAGTTGAAGAAGTACAAGGTGGGTGGCAATTGGAAACATGTTAGAAACACAAAAAAATGTAGCCTGATATGGAAGGCATTTATTGTACTTTTTAGTACTTGATGATGTTAAGAAATAGTAGTAGTATAGTAATAGTTTCTGAAAATTGTAATGCTTTTCACTATATTGTCTCAAATTTTTATGTTTAGTACTATATATATATAGGCTTTATGTGGTAGCCTTATTTCACGTTAAAAGTTTAAGCTTTTGCATGCATTGTTAATAAATTTACAAACATTACTAGATAAGTGCTACTCCCCCAAACTAAAAGAGAAGAAAAAGACTAACATCCTCTCGATCCGTGTGAGCTTGTTCATATTATTAAATTTATGATGAATCTTCATAATATAGAGAAAAAATTAAGCAAAATCTGCATTAACATCCAAGGGAATGTTACTAATGAAACATGTAGTAATAATATTATCACGAGTTCCTCTTGTATAATAAAATATCTTCCGTCTCCTGTATTACTATTTAAATTTTCTATCAAGCTCTCCGATCTAAGAAGCGGAAAAACATTATATTTATTTTTTCGGTATTGTTGCTAAAACTGCATTTGAACCATTTTTGTCACTATTAATAATAGCCGATAAAAATAATAAAATATGGATTTTTAAACAAAAATACGACTCAAGATATTAAAGCTTAAAATAGAATACGGCATAATATCCACACAAAAAATCCCTTTGATCATGAGTTTATGCTTCTGCTCCAATTTGAAACCATCCATTCTCTTCCCGGAGTCCGATTTCCGATGGGTTCAGACCCGTACCCGACCCGTTTCCTTCACTAAGCTAATCCAAACAAAGTACAGTTACCGTGGATGCATTAAAGCAGTCGGAGAAGAAATCGGAGTTCTATCGCCGGACGACAGCTTATCGGTGCGAAATCCGGTAATTGAAGAGGAAACAGTTCCGGATACTGAGGTTAATGAAGTAGAAAATGGAGTTGCTAGTGTTGTAGCTGAAGAAAAAGCTCAAACTTGGATAAGTAAGAGTGAGAACAAGGAAAAATTGGATGAGGAAGATGAAAACGCTAGTAGATTCAAGCTACGTAATGGTAGAGAGGTGAGATTATTTTTTCGAATTTTATTTTTTTCTATTTTCTAGGGCTAAATCTTAGCAGGTTGAAGTATTGTATTTTATTTGCTATTTCCCTCTGCTTTGTATGAATAAGTTGATTTTAATGAGCATATAATATTTACATAGAGAAAAGTTTATCAGCAGCCCTATGCATACACTAAGTTTAGTTAATTTATCCGGATTAGTCGGGCTCCAATACTAATACTGGACACCGGATGAGAATCGAAAGAAAAAAACACTAGGAAGAGCATTAATCACAAAACAAGCTGTGGTATGTTTTCTTTTCTTTTGTCATTCCTATAGTAAATGAGTCTTTTGTGTGGTGCTAGTCTTCAAACATAAATGGTGCTAATCTTTTGTGTGGAGTATAAGGGTAAGTGAATAAGCATTGATAGATTTTCATTTTTAAATTTTACATTGTGTTCAAAACTAACCATGATATATCCATACAAGTTTAAGTGAAAAGAATGATGCATGTTATGTATTTATTGGTATGCATAAGTTTTTTGATATGGCATATGACTTTTTTTTTTACTTTTGTTGATTTTCCAATGCAAAAAGCAGTTTTAGCAATGCCAACCAAATTTTCATGTACTCTGCCTTTCTATTCTTGGACTCAATTTTTTGCTGCTTTAGGTTTTTGAAGAGAAAGCCTACCTAGTGGGTGTTGCATGCAAAGGTGATACAGAAGATTCATTTGGTATAGAGGAATCACTCAAGGAATTGGCTCAGCTGGCTGATACTGCTGGACTACTGGTTGTTGATTCTACATATCAGAAGTAAGTATTGGTACTATAGTCATTTCTGATATACCAGTGATGATTTGTATAACCTTAGCTTCATAGGTCCTGGTTAGTATAATCCTATATAGATCAAAATGTAAATAGTGTAAGGTCCACTAATCATAGAGCTCACTTTAACTGCATAGACATGTCGTCTTACAGCTGTTTAACTTGGAGTTGTCACAAAAATATTATTAACTTGTTTATGGCGTGGGCTCTGGGTTGTGTAATCATAGAACTTGTTTTCCACGTTATTTCATTTATTTATTCTTTACACTTACTGGGATGGTACTGTCAAGATGCAAGAGAAATACATTATTTTCTTTTCCTGTTAAATTTCTTTTGGCTCAGCTTACTCTTTTCTTTTCTTATAGGCTATCTTCTCCCAATCCGAGGACTTACATAGGATCTGGAAAGGTTTCAGAAATCAAAAGCGCAATTCGTGCATTTGATGTTGAGACTGTTATATTTGATGATGAACTTTCACCAGGGTATTTCTCAGCAATTTTTTTTCCCATTACATGATTATTATTCTTGCAAGAACGTTGCTGTTATATTCTGTAATTTTCTGTTTTGTATTTTACCTTTTTTCCTGCAATGCTTTTGGTCTTATGGAGTTTTTTATCCACTCTGGCTACTTGTGCTTGGTTAATATTTATATCTAATTGGTAGTGCTTCATCGAATTCTATACTTGAAAAAGGGTAAATTCAACTTGTGGCAATCAATAGGCTGATTGTTTTATGATGCTCTTTTTAGACAATTGCGTAATTTGGAGAAGGCTTTTGGTGGAGATGTTAGAGTGTGTGATCGCACTGCTCTCATACTGGATATTTTCAACCAGCGTGCAGCAACCCGTGAAGCATCTTTACAGGCAAGTCCACTATTGTTGTCGGTATTGCATCCTGAAAGTTTTTGCACTTTTACATAACCAGTTGAATTTTTTCAGGTGTCATTGGCACAAATGGAATACCAATTACCACGGCTAACCCGTATGTGGACTCACCTTGAGCGTCAAGCTGGAGGGCAGGTCAAGGGTATGGGTGAAAAACAGATCGAAGTAGACAAGAGAATTTTACGTACTCAAGTAAGCAATTTTTGCTGATTAAGCATAAATTTTTTATGTGTATTGTAATTAACTTTTGGTTCATCCAAATTGAACTAGAGCTAGATATTAACCCTCTATATTCATTAATTTTCTGGACAATTGTAGAGGTTGGACTGTAGTGAGTTTTGATTATTGGTTTCTGAATTTTTGCCTGTCATAGCTTTCAATACGCTACTGGCTTTAGTCATATTATAGTGACCTTTCGGTGGCATGCTTTTGGCATCTTCCGAATTTCAACAGCAAAATGTTTCGTGCAAGCACCAGCTTGCATCAAATTTTAATGAGATGTATATAAAAAGTTCACTGATGCACATCCGGAACTTTAATTTAAAACAGATCTTGTCCTTTCTTTGCAAACCTGTGTGTTAATGCTGAACTGAGCTCTCAGTATTGTTTTTCCATCTTGTTGCTTATCTGACCATGCAAAAGTTAATGAGACCTCTATGAATAGTGAAATTCCTTGGCTTAGTTGCACCGGGTCTCGTGGTGATGACCCTGCTTTTAAGATTAAACCAATAAGTCATGATTGTCTTCCTCTGTCAGAGCTCCTGATTCGTATCGATAATTACCCGGAGAAGTGGATGAACCAGCTTTTTCCTTTTATTTATAACCCTCTTTGTCATAGTTCTATAATCCATTTGTTTTTGGAGTTCTCTACTTTCATGTTAATAATGTGTAAATGTGAGGTACATTTTTTTTGGGTCTCTTTTGCACCTTTCTCTTGTGGGATCACACTTAGTATGTTGTTGTTTGCACCTTTCTTCTGTGGGATGGGATCACACGGGGTATGTTGTTTGCACCCTTTTCCTGTGGGATGGGATCACACTGGGTATGTTGTTGTTTGCACCTTGCTATGACTAACTTTAGATTTTACTATAACCTTTTGCAGATTGGTGTACTAAAAAAAGAGCTAGAATCTGTTCGGAAGCATCGAAAACAATACAGGAACCGTCGTGTCTCTGTACCTGTCCCTGTTGTATCTTTGGTATGGAATTTGTCTTTTGTAGAATGTTTGTACACCATGCTCAAGAGAATGGATAATTTATATATAAGTGCTTATTGTTTTAGGTTGGATACACAAATGCCGGAAAAAGTACACTTCTTAACCAGTTGACTGGGGCTGATGTTCTTGCGGAGGACCGATTATTCGCTACACTTGATCCTACTACAAGAAGGGTGCAGGTGAGGATAATGACTGAGGATTAACCCTCATGACAGCTCAACTCATTGCTTGGACATGTTTCCTATATTTGGTGCCCTTTTCAAGCACATAAATTCCTCGTTGGCTGAAAATTATGTGCATCTGGATCGTATCCGCATTATAAGTATAATTAGTTATCTGTATGGTTGTAATGTATTGTGCTTGTTGTCAACTCTTCTGAGCCAGATGAAGAATGGGAAGGAGTTTCTGCTTACAGATACAGTTGGCTTCATCCAAAAATTACCGACAACTCTGGTAAATACCTTTGCAACTTTGAACAGATAGTTCATCTTTTACATCTTCTCGCTAAAGACAAGTTTCAACATAGGCTCATTTAATAAGTTAAGATATTATGAAATCGGTCTTTTATATGGTTTTTCTTACAATAGGTTGCAGCCTTTAGGGCAACACTTGAAGAAATCGCTGAGTCTTCAATTTTAGTGCATGTGGTGGACATCAGGTAAAGTAAATCCATTTGATAGAGTGAGTTCTTAATACAACGTCCAACGTAAGCTTCTTATCTTCTTTTGCCATCTTGTTTAGTCACCCACTCGCAGAGCAACAGATAGAAGCTGTGGAGAAAGTTCTTTCAGAACTGGATACATCATCAATTCCAAAGTTGATGTTGTGGAACAAGGTATTAGTGTTGCATGTCATTTAGTTTGAATACTGTTTTATTTGCAGTGAGCACTCTACTTCCTTAATCCTAAGCCATCTTCTTGTTGATTGGTTTGTTCTTCCTCCAACTGATCATGATATTTTTTGCTAGATTCTTGTGTTGAACCTGCAACCCTTTCTTTTTATGCCGTTCCCTGTTAATGTTGAATGTTGTTGGTTTATTGTCGGGTTACTGTTTAATGATACTTACTGTACAAGAATTGTCATTTTACTTAAAAAAATTTTCCTGAGTGTAACACATGCGTCGTTTGTCCTTTCCTCACTGACCTCAGTGCACATTGAAAAAAATATTGTTTTTCCTGCCTAAACTAGATAGTCTAGGCATAGATGAGCATCTTCTATGCATAAACTTAAACTGGTATCATTTTCCCTTTCTTTCCCATTTACCACAATAGATAACGTTTTCTGATAAAGATAGTTGGTATGTGATCAACCTGACTTCTGAAGTTGAAACTACTGTGTAATCAGACAACTATCTTTTGACAGGTTGATAAAGCTGAAGATCCAGAGAAAATCAAGTTAGAAGCCAAGACGAGAAACGATGTGGTTTGCGTTTCTGCTTTAACTGGTGAAGGGTTGGATGAATTCTGCAACGAAATCCAGAATAGACTAAAGGTATATGGCTTGTTTTATTTTCTCCAAAAGAAAATGATTAATCAATAGTTTTAGGAACGGTTTGATTTTGATGGATAGAGCTTTACTTGTTTGGCAGGATGCAATGGTATGGGTGGAAGCCTTGATCCCATTTGATAAAGGGGAACTCCTCAGTACGATACATCAAGTTGGAATGGTTGAGAGAACTGTAAGCCGCATAATCTTAGTAATTTAAAAGTACTAGTCATTTTCAAATGTCTTCCCCATTGCATTTAGCCCCTCACTTGTCCCCCACCCCCTCCACCCACACACTTTTTGCACTTCTATAAACTTTAAGGGAAGTGAGAGTGACGAATCCCCACCTAGCTTTTCACTTACGCTGAAGTTTGAAAGTGTCCTTGTGCATGAGATAGTTGGTTTTCTTTTTTGCTATTATCACTATGAAACTAGCTTGGGATTGAGGCGTGGCTGTTGTATCACCATGAACTCACTCCATATTGTTCTACAATAGAGCTCTAGAATTCTGGTTAAGAATAGGAGGATTTGTGTGCCAATAGCCTAGCCACAAACTACATGAGAAAGACAAGCATACCGACAGTGACACAAATCCATTTCTTCTTTCATTTCCTGCATTAGTCCAAGCAATATGGAGATAATATTGACAAAATGGTACCAACATTGCCTACTATCCCAGATTATAAGACAGAATTTTCATCTTTTATCTTCTTTTTGATTTTATAGGAATACACTGAGAAAGGAACTATGGTGAGAGCACATGTTCCCCTCCGATTTGCAAGGCTTCTAACTCCTATGAGGCAAATGTGTGTATCATAATTGCCTCAAGTCACCAAAATACATATACTTGAAGGGCGACAGACACAAGCACATCATGATTACGGCCAGCATAAATTGAAACTTAAGTAGATGAATGTGTAACTCCCAACACAAGAATCTCCAGATTGTGGCTTCTGACAAATATGCATAACAATAGTAAACAAGAATCACTAGAAGTCGTCCATCTCCTCACATCAGCAGTCCGTTTACTGAAGAAAAAGCCTGCATGCTTGTTCAAAGGAATTAATGCTAGACTGGTACACATTGTTTGTGCCTCTGTTCTCACTTACTGCTGCTTCTGTACATATAAATATCTCGTCACACATAACTACTTTGTTAGACTGTTCCTTCTCCCCATTGTACAAATTGACCTAATATTCCTAAACAGTTGATCGCGTGACATGCACAGTTTGACCTGGTTTGTCTATGTGAGCTGTATGAGAATGTTCTGTTTTATCAGCAAGATGATTTTAATTTGTAGTAGTAGCTTTCTAATGTGTCTAAAAGTCATGTTAGTACATTTACTTTAGCTCATTTTTCTTTTAGGAAGTCTTGTAGTCCCATCAGTAGATTTATAATGTACTACGTTTACTCACTGTTTTTACTTTGTATAGTAATATATAGTAGTGTGAGATTAGTTAAATGAATTGATATAATCAGAAATGATACAGTCAATTCTAGCTTGTTTGAAATCAAGGCATTTTTGTCTGTGGTTCGAAAATCATACGTTACTCTGTATAAATTATTTATACATCTTACATGAATCTTACTTCACAAACATAGAAATTTGAGGTAAAATAATTGAATTTTCTTGTACTCGTAACTTACCGTTTCTTTCTTTTTGGTTGGCATGGAGCAATATCAAAATCAACTCACATATGGTTGAGTAGTAGTATTCGAAACAGTAAACAAGCCGTTACTTTATGTGATAACCCAATTTATCACATAGACCTAATCATTAGTAGCTAATTACTTTATTTCATGAAGAATCGTGCGATTTGAGTGGATTAGCAAGATCCTATAAATTTATCCAAATTTGTTTACTTAATTTCTTAATTACAAACTCGAACTAATCCTCATTTTTACAAGACATATTATTCAAGCAATCAATTGGAATTGCAATTGCAACCTTTTGAAGTAATAGCCAAGACAAGAAAAGTTCAAAAGTTGTTCAAACTCTATAACGTGGTTGACGTATTATATTTATTTCACATTTTGTTCATTGGAGCAGGTAGAACTAGAACTCAAACTAAAAACACTTAAACAAAAATTTGATGCACAAATCATTTCGCGTTGTAAGCACGGTTTGAAAAGGTTGAGATTCTAAGAAGTGTGATGTAGAAAGTCTAACCTAATGTGTCTATTTTCACGTCTCGAACCTGTTGCCTATAGGTCACAGAAACAACTTTATTGTTGCACCAAGGCTCACTTCGCTTTAACAAAAGAGACATTAATTTCTTATAAGGTATGTAAAAATTGAGTTGACTACCATGAAATGTAATCTAACTTACTAATATTAGAGGATTTGGTAAAAGACTAGTTAGTTGATTTGGTCACATTATCTCTCTATAAATATTCCATGCATTTGTAATTAAAATCATCATACAACAATTTGATTTTTCAATTTCTACTCATCAATTAATAATATGTCTTCTCTTGGACTAGTAATGTTTATTTTATCTTGTGCAATATTCCAAGCCTTTCCAGTTTCTAGTTCCAATAATTATGGTGGTCTATTCCCAGAGTTGTACCAAATCTCATGTCCCCAAGCAAATGAAATTGTAATGTCTGTTTTAGAAGAGGCCATTTCTAAAGATCCAAGAATGGCTGCTTCTTTGCTTAGACTTCATTTCCATGATTGCTTCGTTCAGGTATAAACATTTATACACATTTTCGTATACCATATGTTATATTCTTGGATCATTCATATCATGTCTTTAGTAATTCATTTCATATATATCTCCCTAATACGTCTAGTCCACTACTAAAGATCTATTAAAGTCAAGGACAAATACGAGACGATTATGGTATGAATGACTCCAAAATATAATGAATGGTAAATTGAAATGTTAAGATGCTAAATTTGGACCTATCCCCTCAATAATTTAATTTTTTTATACTTGTGTTGTAGGGTTGTGATGCATCGATTTTATTGGATAAAAATAGTGCATTCAAAAGTGAAAAGGAAGCAGGACCAAACAAGAATTCTCTAAGGGGATATGAAGTAATTGATGAAATCAAAGCTAAATTAGAACAAGTTTGTCCTCACACCGTCTCTTGTGCTGACATTCTAGCCCTTGCTGCTCGTGACTCTGTTGTCCTAGTAAGCTTACATCTAATTAAACTCCAACATTTCTTTTTCATTTCATCTTTAAAATAGATACATGAAAACGATTGCCGCCTGTGTTGCTCGGATTCCTCAAAATACTGATATATACGTGTTTAATCCTTTAAATTAATGCATTTTTTTAGAGGATCTTATACCCCGTCCAACAATATTTTCTGAAAATCCAAGCAACATGTGCATGTCGAATCCTATAAAGCTAGTCCATTTTTGGATGATCTTACTTGGATGTTGAAACATTTTTGGGAAGCCTGACAACATACATGGATCCTCCAAAATTAGTGTATTTTTTTTGGAGGATCTTATACATGTCTGACTAACAATTTTTGAAAAGTCTGACAACATTTGTGTACATGTCGAATCCTTTAAAGTTAGTACATTTTTACATAGATTGCAATCATTTTTACTCTTTAAACAAAACTTTTAGAAAGATTTATCGTGTTACTCTCATATATTATAACTGGATTTTATTTACTATATAATAGTAAAATCATATTTAAAAAAAAATCTCACGTGACTAGTAGTAGAATATAATAATTAAGTACTAGCCAATTCAAGATTTTTGCTTATAATAATGTGTTACTTAATATGTTGGAATTAATAGAGTGGTGGACCATATTGGGAAGTACCACTAGGAAGAAGAGACTCAAAGACAGCAAATTTCAACAAAGCAAATATAAATATTCCAGCACCAAACTCAACAATCCAAAATCTCATAAACCTCTTCAATAAACAAGGTCTTAATGAACAAGACCTTGTTGCTCTTTCTGGTAAGTTACATCAATTTTATACAAATTGTATTCGATACATGAAAGTCATTTTTTCGAACACTTATATATGTTATAATTTTTTTAATGCTTAAACAGGAGGGCACACTATAGGTATGGCAAGATGTGTGTCATTTAAACAAAGGTTATATAATCAAAAAGGTGACAATTTACCAGATGTAACTCTAGAGAAAACTTACTACAATGGATTAAAATCAATTTGTCCAACAAGTGGTGGAGACAATAATATTTCTCCTCTAGATGTTGCATCACCAGTTAGATTTGATAACACATATTTCAAATTATTGTTATGGGGCAAAGGTCTTTTGAACTCAGATGAAGTGCTTCTAACTGGAAATGTAAAAAAGACTAAGGAATTGGTGAAGAGTTATGCTGAAAATGAGGCTATTTTTTTCAGTCATTTTGCTAAGTCTATGGTGAAAATGGGAAATATTAATCCTCTGACTGAGTTGAAGGGTGAAATTAGAAAAAACTGTCGCAGAATTAACTGAAAATTTTAGTTATTTACTTATGTATTAATCATGAATTGAATGCTCATGTTTGGAACCATGGATTATGAATTTGTAAGATGTTTATTGTTGTTGTAAAATGTTTTATGCTAAAGTGGCTTATTTATATGTTGTGAATTTTTCATTTTTTGTAATGAAAAAAAGTTACGAAACTATTTTTAATTAAGATATGAAAGGGGATTATTTTTTTTTCATTATCAAAAGACCCTCGCCATTTATTTCCACTTAATTGTACCATTGTAAATTTGTTAAGTGTGTTCAAAACAAAATAGATGATGAATCAATTAAAGATAATATACGTTTTTATTGAACATAGGTTTAGTGATCATCCAATTATTAAAATATATAAATATCACTTATATTAATATATATATTTATTATATAAAAAAGAAAAAATAAATATTAAACCTATTATATTGTGGAAAAAGATAAGTTATTGTGTGGAAACTCTTTTTTATTGAAAAAAAATACGTTTTATTGTTTAGATAATCGAGAAAATTTACATAGACGTTGTTATATCGAGGTAACAATAGATTAAGTACATCAAACCAACTGAAACTACAAGGAAGATTAACGCTACAAATATAAGAAATTCCGATTTTTAAAATATTCGACACTATTCTTAAAATGGTTTTGCATCCTTCAGATAATTTACATACTAGTAGACGTTAAAATATATAATAGCACTCACAATAATAATAATAATAATATATATTATAAAAAAAAAAAAACGAAAATGGATAACAGACATTCATCCTATTATACGTTACGATATAAATTCATATACTGTGGGAAAATATGAGTCGTTAATTGTGGCAACGTGGGCATATCTTGTTTCTTGGAAAATACATATTTAAGGATTTTTTATATTATTTTTTGTAGGTGTGATAATCTTTAACTATGTCATAACTAGATATATTAGTTAAAATATTTCATTATAATTGGTATATAGTTATACTATAACACAGTGTTAGACATAAAATGAAGGATAAATGTGTGTTGCATCACATTTTGTACTAATTACTCAAATTTAAACATGTAAAAGAGTTGTTATGTATTCCAGATACCTGCGAACCACTTGGATACAATGTATCTAGAACAAATTACACTTAATTTTGACCTCATGTATTCAATATACACGTATCTTGAGGCACCAAAATCTAGTAGAATATGTAATATTGCAAATTAGAATGTATCTATATAATTAGCTCCTAAACAAGTAAAATTTACGCAAGTTATTAAAAAAAAAAAGGGTGTCCGGCCAATCCCTTCTCATTCAAAATTTTTGTTGGGTTTGGTAGGTGAAGTTGGGCTAGAAAGGGCTAACATATGTTTTTTTTTTTATAAAAAAAAATAATAAATTGTTTTGTTTAAGTGAGAAGTGGATCCTTAAATCTGTCTTATCTTTCACTTTAAGTTGGTCATATTTTTTCAGATTAATGGGGTCAATTTGGATACAACACAATTCAACACTTCTAGTCTAAATTGATCAATGACGAAACTTGTTAGAGTAATATATTCTGTTAAAAAAATATTGATATAATAATAATAATCTATATCTATCTATCTATCTATCTATCTATATTTATACTATCTTAAAAGCATGAATTTTCAAACTTAAATGTTAAATTACTATAATATCTCCAACTAAAAACACTCAGTTTAGCTTATTAAATTATATTATATTAAAAGTAGACACAAGGATTGTGACTTCTCCGAAAGGTTGTGATTTTTCCGAAGAGTTGTGATTTCTCTGATGTGTTGTGACTTTTTCGAAGGGTTATGAATTTTCGAAAGGGTTGTGTCTTTTTCAAAGGATTGTGACTTTTCCGATGAGTTGTGAACTTTTCAAAGGGTTGACTTTTCCATAGGGTTGTGACTTTTCTAATAAGGTACAATTAGCACATATTCATAATTCATACTATTATTTGTTGGCTATAAATAGAGGGGTTCCCTGTCATTTTTACACTACAATTATTTTAAGTTTTCTACTCTACTTCTTAAAAAAAAATCTCAAGCGTGCTTTGTAATAGTTGAATAAGTTCAAGGAAAATAGAGTGTCACACAAGGAGGTGTTGGTGAACAAATTGTAGCAAATCATTCATTAATTCATACTCGTATTTTCCTCCTAAGATTTTCATCACATTCATACTTCAATATTATTTATATCATTTTAGAACTTTAATACTAATAAACATGAGATATACAATGCATGTATTCGAAAACTTGTAATAAATAAATGTATTTAGTAACTACACAAATTATTAGAAAATTATTGCCCTCAATAAGTATTCTTCTTCTATCCACATGAGAATATTACAAAGTAAGACTTGGGGAAAATGAAAATCAGGTGATAATGATGAAGTTTGGACAAATTAGGAATTACTATATTTTATGGTTAAGTAAAGATTTGTAACAGTATAATTTAATACTCAACATTGTTGAACTAAAAAGGCTATTATTGATTCTGGTTAACATTTGAATCATGGATGAACCTATTGTTGATCAATTGGTTTCTTCTTCTCATACCATGTCTGTCACTGTATGTCTTTGTGAACTTAGGCATTTGAGTCAAGATTACAAACATATTGGATTGTTCGTTTTTTTTAGATATCCTTGCATGTGTAAATATGAAGAGCTACAATATGAAACTAGTAATATGCTTAGAGAATATTAGAATAAATTCTTGAGCATGATGAAGATGGAAATCCCAAGTTTTATAAAATTGAGAATTTTAATAAGTTGCAATAAAAATCCATAATTGTGGTAGTCATATTGGTATAGACTCTGCCAAAATAAACATATATAACCTATAACAATGAATGTTGTTGCCTTTTGGCAATAGACTGTTTATATTTTCTTGAAAATCTAGGAAAATGACAAATCTGGGTTATACTCATACGACCAATTACTTTGCTGGCCAGAGTAGCTAGCATAAAGTTACCTCTCTATAATGGACGAAAAATGTATATTCTAATACTAAAAGAAATATGACCACAAATTTAAGGAACTCATGCAAGCACACCATTCAAGGTCTTCTGTATGTTGTTTTTTTGTTCGCGTTGTTCTGCTTCTACACTTCGATCATAAAACTTTAAACTTTTTGTTCTGCTTCTAGACTTTGATTATAAAACTTTTCGACCAGGCTCATCTTGAATAAATCAAAACAAACCGTAACAAATAACTCATGAAGAAGCCTAACAACAAGAAAATGTCTATTTTGTTGTATGAATCAAATTCAATAAAAGTTAATAATTTTGGTTCTAATTCTATTAATTTATTAGAAGTTAATAATTTTGAATTTAAATCTATATTAATTTATAAGAATTGGATTCAATAGAAAATAATAGTTTTGGTTCCAATTATATTAATTTAACACTGGAGAATTTAAGTATTCCTACAAAGATTTCGTAAAAATTTAGAGAAATATTTCAAATTAATTGATCATAAAAATTAATGAAATACTTAAAATAAAATAAAAAAACGCCTAGATCTTCTTGATATAAAAGATTTGCAGGTATAATTCCTTCGACATTTTCCACAAAAAGACAATATAAAAAAACAATTAATTATAGAGCTATTTAAAGATTTTTTGTGATTTCTTGTACGTGTTGTAATCTTTATAATGTCAAAACAAGATATATTATTTAAAATATTTCTGTATTGTTGATATATTGTTACATAATAGTAGAATGTTTGATAAATAATAGTAAACTATGACATATTTCTGTGTCCAAGTCATGTTAATTAGTAATTTTTTTTTATCTTTGCATAGATTTATATTTATATATTAGTGAATTTACTCTTTTTTTTTTTTTGTATAATAATATTATGAGGATGAGCTAATTGAAGTGACATAATTAAAAATAATATAGTCAATCTTAGCTTGCTTTAAATTAAAATGTTTGTTATGCTATTAAAAAATTATATGGCGTAAATTAGGGATGAATTAGTCTTTAATATCATATAAGATATGACACCTAAGTCTAACTCAATCCAAAAGTTAGCTTATGAGGAGATCACCCAAATCCATGTAATCAAACCGACATTCCATTCCCCAACCAATACTAGACTTTTAACTCACTCTAACAATATCCGAAACTATATATATATATCCCTCCCACATTATCAATATCTAAAGATTTTAGTTTTAATTGAACTTAACAGTTGGACAAGGAGTCCTTTTCTTCTTTTTTTTGTAAAAAGTAAAGTGCAGTTGGCCATCCTAGTTGAATTTGAATTATGTTAATTTTCCTTCTTATATATAATCACATAACTAGATTACTGCCATCTAAAGTATCATTGTTTATTTGATGAATCAAATTGAGATGAATCAAGTTAACACAAATATAAAGGTAGATAAAAAATTTGAGATGAATCATATTGAAATAAATATAGATACGGATATTGAGATAAATATAAAGACGGAAGATATTGAGATAGAGATAATCTATAATAGGACTATGGAAGCGGAGCAGAGAGAAAAGAAGAAGAAGACATTGAATCTGCACATTGTAAAAGAGAATCAAGGTTATTCGATTGCGGGATTTTATATATATATATGGGCATGGCGTTAATTGTTTGTGTATTTATAATATATTTTTAATTTTACTGATCCTCATCAATGTCTATTTACTCTTTAATTTCTTTTCCTTTTCGTTTTCTATATGATCAATAAATATTATTTATTACAAGTGCTATTTTATATTTAATGTCTACCTTGATAGGGAGTGGAAACTTAACACTATCTTTAATTGATTCATATCTATTTTCTTTTGCACACAACATATTTACCATGGTACAATTAAAAATGATTTCGTAACTTCTTTTTTTTTTCTTTATAAAAATTCAAAACGTATAAAGAACCCCTTAGCATAATCCATACTAATCAAAATATTTGCGCATGCATAAGATCAAAACTGATCAAGAATCTAAACATGATCCATTCACTTCATGATTAATACATAGTAAATAACGAGAATTTTCGGTTAATTCTTCCTAATTTCACCTTTCAATTCATTCAAAAGATTAATATTCCCCATTACGTGAACTTTTTTTAGGCTTGATTAACTTTAAATAATGTTTGTTTGAGAATTTAATTTTTGA